ACTTTATGATAATTGTAAATCTATATACTAATGTCTGTCACAGATTCTCCAGGGAAGCACTTATATAGTGTCTTGAAGTACCCCCAGAAGCCAGTCCAGGCATAGCTTCTAGAAAGGGTAAACCCCTGGTTTCTGGGACTCCAAGACCAGGCTCTTTGGTCTCTAGCCCCCCAGTTATCTTTGGTCCTCCCTCAGCTTGTTATCTCCTGGTTCCGTTCCTTAAGATGGACTTTACCTCTTCAGTGGGATGGAGTGTACCCAAAATCACATGTAACAAAGCAGTCAGCTCTTTGCAAAACCAACCCTTATTGGTCCACACCAATGCAACAGCTAGAATCTTTCTGTTGCAAAACGCAAGCAATCTCTGTCAGGTACACAACAGAAAATATGACATAGAAAAAGAGAAACGGCAATAACAAAAGGAAAGGCCTATAACCCTGGCAGTTTGGACAGATGTAGCATTTGTGGTGGGGCAAATTGTCATGGTGTTGATCCATATTTTTAAAAAGTTGCAGTACCAAGACAGACAGATGTGCCACCTCTAAGTGTTACTCCAAGCAGCAGCAGGCAGCCACCATGTTATACACATACCAGCGTGTCTCACAGTGGCCCCATCTCTAGAGGTTCATGGGGATTTCCTTGTGAAAAGGAAAGCATCTATTATCTGCTTGGCTGGGAATCCTACCCCCACTACTGTATCAAAAGTAACCAGTCAACATCTCCAGACCACTTCCACTGCTACCGCTGAGATAACTGAGAATAGACATGTAATGGATTCTTGCATTGTGGACTGTGGTTGCCCAGCATTGGGAGCTCATGACCCAGCTGTTGCAATCAAGGCAACTCCTGTGGTCTATCAAAGCCAATTTGACTATAAGCACCTGCAGTCTGTGTCAGGTGGGGTTTATGTCAGCCTAATGGGAGAGTACATGTTTGAAGACCCAGAGAGGCACATCCTTAACTATCTCCAGGTCTTCCTCTCTGCCTGTGCTTCTGGCTCTGAAGAGGTGGAAGCTGTACAGCAAAACAAGTTATCCAGGTCATTGTAGAAACAACTCTGAACTTGAGCAGTACTTCTTGTCCAAAGAAATGAGGAGCAACTGGTAAGGCTGCATCATCTGGGATGATGAACAGTGATAGATGGACTTCCATATGTTCTGGGTGACCTTCATGGAGATCTGCACCAAGCTGGCTCCTGTTCTTGAGCAGCAAGCCTGCAGGATGAGAGTATCTCTGGCCAGGAAGAAGACCATCAGCAGTGCCACCATCGCTTGCTGCCCCTCACATCCTCCAATCACATCCGCCAACCAGTTCAGTGCTGGTAAGTGCACCATGGGACTGGCAGTGTGAGATGTGTGCCGGGCAGTCAGATAGGTGCTGGCTCCATGTTTCATCTGCCTTACTGACCTGTGGGAGGTTGTAGCTGGTTTTGCCTGCATAGAGGTCCCAAACTGCACTGGGACCATCAATGGCACACACATAGCCATTCCTTTCCCCTGTGTATCATGCCTGGGAGTTCATCATCTGCAAGCTCTTTTCTTGTTTGTGCTGGATAGCATTGTGGACCACCTCAGATGTTTTACACATGTCAGTCCCAGCTGGTTGAGCAAGGTCCACAGCACCAGGGTATTCAGGAACTGGTGCAGTGACTTTGGATGTTAATTACCATGGGTTGAAGGCCTTCCATCCCTTGGCGGGCTTCTCACTTCTCCTTGCCTGGAACCATCTGCATTAGAATCAACAAGTATCTTGGGACAGGGGTAGAAGAGGCAAGCTCATGTCCCCACCTGCTATAGTCCTCGGCAAAGTGCTCACTGGAGCATTGGGGCTTGAGAAGGGATTGTTGGTGGGAGTTTGGGCTCATAGGTTGCATGTGCAGCAGGTTCTGAGGTGGTGCTGATGTGTCTCTTCTTGCAGGTGAGGATCACTGGTTGTTGACCATTATGACTTGCCACAGGTCCTGCTGCATGCCCCTGGGATTAGGTAGCTGATGTAGGTGCTGACTGTACTGAGCTTTGCGTAAAGAATCTTTGGTGATGTTCTGGAACAAAGGGAAAGTGCCTTTTTCCTAGTATACTTTCAGCTCACTTTGTCACTGTTCATGGGCCATGTCCATCCATAATTTGTTGTAGTGCAAAAACTTTTGTCTCATGACTAAAACATTACAAATGCAATGACTATTCATGCCCTGGTGATATTAAAGACAGAGCACTTCGTTTAAAATCAGATAAGTTTAGGACTTAAATCTAGGAAGCAATCCATATGTAACAAATAAAACTGTTTTTTTTTAAATATTATGGAACTGATGATTATATAACTGATTGTGTGTGTTCATTAGCTTAAGTGTCCAAAAAAACTAAAACAAAACCTTGAAATGTCTATAAATGGAATAAATGTGTAACGGGATGCTGAGAATTCATTGGAATCCATCAATCCAAGAAAAAGAAAGTTTAAGATGCTGTTGGAGATACTCCTGAATGGCTCTAAAGGAGTTTAGAACCAGACAGATCCTACAGAACAAAGGGTGAACAGAGTCTCTGCTTTGGTTTCTAATTTGAACTAAAACAACCATTTCCACGACCAGAATAACTGCTTTTCCAGCTGGATGTGGTAAAACAGCTGAGTGTACTAAGTCAACCTGCACCATTTCCAAAGAGTGCTGGCTGAGAACTATGTATACAATGCTGGGCTCTAAACTAGTTGTTATGCATCAGAAAAGAGACCTTGGAAACATTATAGGCAGTTCTCTAAAGAAGTTAGCTGAATGTGCTGTAGTGACCAAAAAAGCCAATAACATTTCAGACATCATTAAGAAGGGAATTGAAAACGTACTGGAAAATATCATGCCACTATAGAAATCCATGATTCACCCACATCTTGAATATTGTGTGCAGTTTTGTCTCAGCATTTCAAGAAGGATATAGTAGAATTAGAAAAGGTACAGAGAAAGGCAATCAAGATGATCAAGGTTATGGAACAGCTGTCATACCAAAAGAGATATAAAAATGTTTCAGGGGTGTAGCTTGTAGCCGTGTTGGTCTAAGTACATAGGCAGACAAGGTTCTTTGGGTGAATCTGATATCTTTTATTAGACCAACTTAAATAGTTGGAAAACAATTTTTAAGCAAGCTTTTGGGTTCAAAAACCCTTCATCAGGCTAAGGAAGTTTCAGCAGTTGGTATGTGTTCTTCCTGGATAGAATGAAAATCCAAAGAAGATATCAGATTCACCCAAAGAACCTTGTCTGCCTATAAAAAAGTTAGGACTTTTCAGTTTGGAGAAGAGAAGGCTGAGAGGTAATATTATAGAGGTCTACAAAATCAAAGGTGTGGGCAAAGTCAATAGGAACTGTTTTTCACCAGGTCCCAGAACACTGGAATTATGGGGTGCCCACTGAAATTTGCAGAAGACAGGTTTACAACTAAAAAGAGAAAGTGTTTTTTTTAATGGAGTGCATAGTTAACTTGTGGGAATCATTGCCACAGGCAGTTGTAGAAGCAGATATTATAGCCAGTTCAAAAATGAACTAGACAAATTAATTAATAACTATTAAACAGAAAGGTCAGGGATGTATCTCTAAGCCAATGATGACAGACAAACGGCAGTGGTGGCAATGCAGGGGCAACGGTCCCCTTCGAGCCCTGGTGCTGCCTGATGCAGTCCATGGCAGTGCCGGCCCCTGCTTGCTGCCCACTCCAGGAAAGAGACTCATGCTCCACGGATACCAGGACGGGGCTGCAGCCTCCGTCAGGGCCTTGCCCCCTTGTTGCTCCAGTGGCAGGGTCACAGGCCTGGCCAGAGGCTGGCTGGCAGGGCCCCTTGGGCACGGGGGCACGGAGGTGGGTTATTCCTCTCTCCCTCCAGTGTCTGGTGGAGGGGGCTTATCCCGCCGCTTGCCCCACGCACAGAGCAAGTGGTCATGGTGGGCAGACCCTGCTGCAGTCCCCTAGGGGCAGTGGGAGCTGAGGGAGGAATAACCCTCTCCCTGTCCCTCTGCCTCAGAGTCTATGCTGCCTGGTGCTTCGCTGTGCCTCTGGTCCTGCTGCTGTAGCAGTGAGGGGTGAACACAAGGTGAACCCCGGCCTGGGTCTGTGCTGGTGGGACAGGGAGGGGAGAATTCAACCCCCTCCCTGGCCAGTTCAACCCCCTCCCTGGCCAGTTCAGTTTGAGCTACTGCTGGGGCTGGCCACACCCCCAACACTGGAGCAGCCAGCAAAGACATGCAGGTCTGCGCTGGTGGGACAGGAAGGGGAAATGGGGTGGGCAGGGAGGAGAATAAACCTCTTCCTTGCCCCCTTCCTGGGGCCAGTGACTGGCCAGGCCCCCACCCCTGTCTCCTGTTCCAGCTAGGGAGCAGAGGGGCAGGGCCAGCCCCGCTCTGCTGGAGCAGAGAGCATGCTGGGATGCTGGGGGACTCCAGTTTAACTTAAACCAGGAAGGGGCCTGGGACAGACATTGCATAAACTGGTTTGAGCTCAATCAGTTAAGTCTGATACTACATTTAACCAGGTTTATCTCAAACTGGTTTTGGCCATTTTGAAACTGGCATATGTGCACTGAACTTATGTTTTGTTATAGGTTGAAACCAGTTTCTGATCACTTAAACTGGTTTATGTGGAATGTCTGTCCATAGCCCAGGTCATGGAAAATTGTACTGCTGCTGTAAGTACTCTAACTGCTGCTTAGCTAAAATATCAGAGGCTTCATCATTTCTGAAGAAATTTCACTTACTTAAAAAACATACTGTTAGCTTCGTCTGTATAGTACTCCATTATTTTAACACAATGTCTTGTAATTGTTACTTTATAGGCAAATAATAAACTGAAGGGTATGTTTATGGAGGATAAAAGGAAGCACGAAAGACAATTGCAAAACAAAATGCTGAAGGGCAAGAAGGAAAAACATTAAAATAAGTGTACTCAAAAACTAAAACTTTAGTCAGCCATTTGTTCTGCACATGTTTAGGTTAAGATGCAAGTTTATTTCCTTCATCTCGACAGGCAGCAGAAGAGCGAGAAAAAGAGAAGGAAAAGGATAAAGGGAAAGTTAAACCTCCTGGCAAGAAGGACAAGTCTCCCAGTGCCAAGTCTGCTGGAAAAGGAGGAAAGGGAAAAAAACTTGAAACAGCACCAGCATCAGCAAGCATTATTAAAAAGGACACAAAGTTAAGACGGAGGGGAGAAGATGATGAGGACGAAAAATACATTGGTATGTAAGAAATGCAGGTATATTGCTGAACAAGTCACCCACAAAACACATATGCATTAGGAAATGTCATTGTTAATTCAGGGCTTTATTTGTAAAGACAGTTAGTCAAGACAGAAGATGCATTAGGATTACTATACTGTACATGAAAAGGGCTTTATACTTCAGACTTGAAATTACACAAATAGGATACATTTTAGAGTCCAAAAAACAGAATCCTAAAGATTCATATAAAGTATGACAAAATTAAAATATAGTACAGATAAAAACAATATAAAACTAGAAAACAAATCCCTTTTACCCTTTCATGTAGATTTCAAAGGAGCTTGTTACATTTATCACTATATTCAAGGGGCAACTTCTCTTTGTGTTATAAAACATCACAAAGCTCTGCATCATTACTTGGGAATGAAGCCAGATTCTGCACAAAGAGCCATATGTTTTCATTTGTTGTAAAAAATGTGTGGAAAGCACCAAGATCTGAAGAAATCTATTTAAAAAATGAGCCGCACAAGTTAATGAATAATGTACTAGCCAGTTCTGAGAAAAATCTTATTTCTAACACGTAGTGGACATGACTATAAACCTCCACTGAAGCCAAAAATATTGGAGAAGATGAATAGCTCTTTATCACTGACTGGCAGTGTACTTAGCATGGGAATATGGCATGAAAATTTAAGCCCTCTCCTCTTGGTTCTAGAGGAGACGCTGTTAAATGCCTCACACTCTTGTAGTTATTCAATTAATTTTAGTTAAAGCATCCCCACAGCCATTTTGAAATGCAGAGGGGCTTAATACAGATGATGCTGCAGCAGTGCTAGAGTGTTCTAACTAGAACACATCAGACACGTGTATAGACAGCCCAAGTTGCCAAATTCAGGAGAAAAACAAGAAGCAGAGTCCAAGTCAGGGTTTTGGAGTATGCTGGCCAGAGTATGCTGGGTTTTGGAGTCGGGTACCAAGTTACCCAAGCTGAACAGAGTTCCCAAAAAGCCGGAGTCCAGAAGCAGAGCCAAGCATGGTCAGAAACCAGAAAACCTAAAGCACAAGCTCCAGAGGTTTACCACAGCAGACCTTCAGGGAGAACTGTTGGCTGGTCTGTGGTTGACTGCCACAAGTGGACTTGAATGGGGAGACTGCTCTCAGCAGCCAATCAGGAGACCTTAAGAGTGGCCAGCTGGTGCATCAGCCAGGGTGGAGCTGCTGGATAGAACCTCTGGCAGGTTTGGCCAACTGACTAATTCATCTGGGCTCGGCTGGGCTGGGCTGCCAGTTAGGGTCCCTGACAGATGCAACCCTCTCTACAGGTATCATCTAGAAGTAATAGCATGTGTTGATATACATGAAGAAAGTATCCAAATTAATGTCCTCAAGGAACCAGAATTAAGGTTATGGATAAAAGCTTAGATTTTTCATTTCTTCTTGAAGTGCTCCTGCACACACATCTGTCAAGTGTAGGCATGTGCTGACCAAGTCAAAGACTTGTGATAGTTGTTTCTGCAGGAGGTCCCTACCTGTCCTTGGGCCTCCAGTCAAGGGCATAGAGTAGACAGAGCCTCCCACCCTTCCTCAGTGCCTTCTCGCACTTTGAAGCATCTCATGCTACCTTGACCTACTGGTCTTTTTTCATTTGTCATTAGCATATATATTGGTTTGCCTTTGTAGGAGCTGAAGAGCTGAAAAGGCCTAGTACTTTACAGTAAGGTCCGTGTGATGAGTAATGATGCCTCTTGAGGTGTGACCTGTAAGATTTTTAGCTGGTAGAGTACCACATTTATTTGCATACCACATGCACCCTTTTACGAAAACCCAGCCTTCCTAAACTAGGATATGTGTCTTAAGCAGAGAGGCTGATTTTCTTCACTGGAATAGAAGCATAGAGATGTTGTGCTAAAATGGCTGTCAAAACAACTTCTGTTTCTCCCAGGGCTAGCAAGCAGCAGGGGCAGAGTCCAGTTTAAGCCCTTTCACAAATAGCTATGAAAGGCTAACACTAACTTTTGCCTGAAACAGCTGGCTGATGGCAAGTGAGCTGCTTCATTCACTCTTCCATAACTCTATAAAAATCTTTTTACTTTTGACCTTCCAAAAACAGGTCTTATTTAGGGTGTTATTTGGGGATTTGTGTGTAGTAGTTTTGTTAGGGTTGACCGTGTAGTTTTGCTAGTAAGTTAGACAATGGATTTGTATAGGATGGTTTGGATAGGGGTGATCCTGCCTCAGGAAGTAGCTGGCCTCGGTGCAGCTCCACTTTAGCTAAAAGCTGTGCTCACACCACAGCCTGGGGCTGGGAGAAGCAGCAGTGATGTGGGCACAGCTTCCAATGATATGACTCTGGCAGGGGCACAAGGAATGCTCCCCCTACTGTAGACCTGACATTCAAGCTACTTAAACCTTCCAGTATACAGTAAAATACAGTAAGCCATCCCAGGAAGCACGTATGCAATTATACCCTGTTGGAAGAAGATTTGGTCCTGTAACAGGGGGCTTCCTTGGGGCCAGTCTACCAATGGTCTGCCCACTTGTTTATGGGCCAACTGCCCGCCTTCTCGTCTGCCATGCCTTGATGATATATAATTATGATATTAATTAGGTGGGAGGCTGCCCATTTCTTGCCCCGATCTGCGGCTCCATTCCTCCCCTACATCGCAGCCCAAGCCTCGCAGATGGCATTCACAGTTGTTAATGTCACTGGCCCCGCACTGGGCCCCAGAATCCTCCAATCCAGACCCTCAACTAGATTCCTTCCAATCAAGCGGCCTACTCCGTCCTCATTTTGGGCTGCCTGGCTCCCTGAACTCTTTACCCTGTCAGGCGTGGTCTTCCCAGGACCTTTGGCCACACAGGCCCTGGCCTCACCTCCAAGGCCAGTCAGAAAACCTGGGCCCTTAGCTCTGGACATCCCTCACAATGGAGCCCTGGCCCTTTTGACCATTTTGGTCCTAGCCCCAGCATTGACTAGTCCAGGGTATTTTAAGTCAGGTTTCTGAGTCTATAGCCCACTCTGTAACCTGGGTCCACTGTCTTGACCCTACCATGGGGTAACCCACCCGGTTGTGGGAGCTGGGGTTATTAAGGCACCCCAACCAGCCTTTCACTGAGGTGGTCATTGGCCTGGTATTTCCTGGGGTCTCCCGCACCGCTGAGAGCTCCACCAGGCCACTCACTCCCAGTAGGGTGCAGTTTTAGGTCATGCCCAGGACCAGCAGCCTCCAAACCATCCCCTACATCTCCTACCCTTATCTCCAGGATGTTGCATTCATCCTTGAAGCCAGGCAATGTTACTACCTGCTCTGCCGGCAGCAAACTGCTCTGATTGTATAGGTGGCCAGAGATCTAAAATGGTTGCCACAGTCAAGCACCTGCTGGTTGCTTGGCTAAGCCCTTAAAGTGGCAGGCACCAACAGTGCCACTGTGCAGTGACTACTTGTGCAGTGTCACTGTGCAGTGATTACTTGCAGCATCTGCAAGTAGTCACTGTGCAGTGACTACTGCAGTTAATTTAGTACCTAATTTACTGCACAGTAAATGCCACACACACGTAGACTGTGATGCTTTACTGCACAGTAGATCAGTCTGCTACACAGTAAAGTGTCTCATGTAGACATGTCCACTGAATGTGTGATCTAACAAAACTGCCAGATTTTTTTCCATAGTGCAGCCATCCAGCCATGTGTTGCCCATTTTATATTTTTATTTTTGATTATTTTTCTGGAGGTGTAACATCTTGCATTTCTCAGCATTGAATTTTATCCTGTTACCTCCAGCCCAGCTTTCCACTTTGTCAAGACCCCGTTGAATTGCTTTTTAATCCTTCAACATGTTTTCAGTCTTTCCCAGTTTCATGTTGGCTGCAAACTTACTCAAGAAGCTTTCTGCGCCAAATCATTAAACACGTTGAACAGCACTGGGACCATATCAGACTCCTATGGGATTCTACCCGAAACCTCCTGCTATTCTGACATGGGTCCATTTATACTTACCCTTGTTTGCAGCTATTGAGCAAGTTGTCTGTTGACCTTATAATAATTTTATCTAGCCCATTTTCTCCAGTTTCTTAATGATAAAGTCACATGAGACCTTTTCAAAAGCCTTGTTGAAGTCCAGATACCCAAGTAGTTACTTGTAACAGGGTCCAATCTTCCTGTCATTTTAAGAGGGGAGAGCAGCTGGCTACTGCAGCAAGCAACTGCATTTGTTGCAGCAACGGAGGGCAGATTCAAATGCAAGATAGGGCTGGGGCCCAGGAGCCAAGGTCCAGAGCAGTGGACCTGGGCTCATGGGTGCAGCCAGAATAAATGGGAAGGCTGAGGCTTGGATAAAGATTTGGGGCCTGAGGGCCAAAAGCTGTGTTGGGGTTAAACATTGAGTAATGAACATTGAGTAACATCTGTAAGGCATGGGCATGGCTGCAGAGAAGGGAGGCCATGAATTCAGCCCATAAGTCAACTGGTGCCCTGAAGCACTGGTAGGGCCAGGAGGTCCATAAATTAGTGCTTGAGTGACAAGACTGGTGACCAACTGGGTACAAGAAGTATCAGCCAGCTAAAGCAAATGGGCTCACTCTGTGACCCTGGGGTAGCCTCCCCTAATACAGTAACAATTCCAACAAGGCATGGCAAGTGAGGAAAAGGAAGGGTACCCTGAGGAGCCAGAGTGGGGACAGTTGTCATGTGGCCACCAGGGTGTGTTATAGCTGCCCCCATGGCATGGTCCTGCTACCTTACTCTGTCAAAGGAAGAGATCAGGTTTGTTTGGTATGACTTGTTCTCCTTAGTAAATTCATGCTTGGTGCTTGTGAGAAGCTGTTCCTTTTCCAGATGCTTGCAAATGAACTTGCTTAGGATATGTTCCAGTAACTTCCAGGGTATTGAGGTGAGGCTAACTGGTCTGTAATTCCCTGGGTCTTCCTTTTTGTTTGTTTTTTTTTAAAGAGAGGCATGACACTGGCCCTTTTTCAGGTGTCTGATATCTCGCCCATCTGCCACAACTTCATAAATATC